TGGGTTACATGCCAGATAACTATGCTAAGCACTTTTATACACATCACCTCTCGTACTGTTCACAAGAACTCTCTAAGATGGATTCTACTAATGCACCCATTTTACAGATGAGAAACTGAAAACCACTGAGGTCAGGTAACTTGTTCAAGGTCACACATGTAAGGCAGTGTCCAAACCAGAACTAAAACTAAGTCTAATTTGAAAGCCCATGTGCATATGCACTAAGCTACCTCACTATACTACCTATCTCTCCCCACACACAAGAAAGAGCCAAACAGGATGAAAAATCCACATTATTTAGAAACAAGCACATTTTCATGTCTCTTTTTAAAGGAGAGTTCCATGCAAACAAATATTTCATGTTTCTGAAATATGAGTTTAAATTTTGTGAATGCAAATCATAAAAGCTCGGTACTTTAATGTCTAGGGATGATTAGTGATTTTTGTACAAATACACACATCCTTCCTGCAAATAAAATATCAAATAAGCTAAGACACTCATGTAACTTATTTCTGTACAGGGCTACTGTTTGTAAAATCCTATTAAGAAACTGTTGCTTACAATAGCTAGCACCGGAGAGCTCAACTAGTGCTGGGTTGTTCCAGGGATGAGATGTTCTTGCAGCTGACAGAATATTTATTCCCAGAGGAAACTGTTATAAATTGCATTTTGCCCCTTCAGTTGCTACAGGCTTGTGATGGAGAGTGGGCGGAAAGGACAACCTGTAATTCAGGATGGGTTGGAGGCTGGTTGCCTAGGAAACTGGGATGAGCAGCACAATGCCAACCCAAACCGACTCTGAACAAGAGAAGGGATGTGTTTTTTTTTTTTTTTTATCTGTGCTGCTTTCCAAATACAAATTTTGTGACTCTTGTGGAGTCTGATTAGGGCCAGTGGCCCTTGGTTGGCAGTGCATGCCAAAGCGGGTCAGAGGTGAGTCAGGGAGGATGGGATAATTTTCATAAACATTGTGCTGACAATACACGGGGGAGAGGTGGACAATGGCTTTGTGAAAATGAGCTTGTGAGAGGATAAGGTGATCCACAGATGAATATTTTACATAATGTAGCATGCAGGCAATCCTTGATCGTCACTGATCTACATCTAAATTTACTGCAGCAAAACTTGCATTTTTTTAAATATAAAAGTTTATTTGCCATCATCCCTTATTCCCTAACATTTATGTTACTTACATCAGAAGTTTTGATTTATAGTAAAGTAGTTATCTTCAAGAGTAGCACTTGGAAATTCACAAACCTGGATGAAAATAGTACCTAGTTTCCTAATACTTTAAAATATGCACATTTATTTTTTCTTTTTAAATGTATCACACATGTATACATATACATTTAATAGAGGCCTGGTACACAAAAATTTGTGCACTCGGGGTGGGGGGTCCCTCAGCCCGGCCTGTGCCCTCTCACCATCTGGGACCCCTCGGGGGATGACCACCTGCTGGCTTAGGCCTGCTCCCTAGGGGATTGGGCTTAAGCTGGCAATCAGACATCCCTCTGGCAGCCCGGCAGCCCTCAGGGGATGTCTACTTGCCAGCGGGGAGCAGGCCTAAGCTGCAGTCAGACATCCTTAGAGCTGCTGAGGAGGCAGGAGAGGCTCCCACCACCACCGCTGTACTGGCAGCCATCAGCCTGGCTTGTGGCTGGGCAGAGCTCCTCCATGTGG